GGCTTCACCGCGCCACAGACAAGCGACTTCATGGCCAGCTCGTCTTCTACAAAGGCGGCCAATGATTTGCACCTCCGCAACCCCTCTCTTTCTCACCCTATCTCTAAATCCCGTACTAGTTTATGTTCTAAGACTTGTTGTTTGTCCCAAATATCAGTATACATGCTAGATCTATGACTAGATGATCCTGTAAAACTCTATCAAGTTCACCTCACATGCGATTAATCAGTGAGATCCAGGGATAATGCAAATTGCACCTGCATTAAGAACCAAGCAAAAGGTATTAAAAACATTTTTTTTTTAAAATGGAGAGGTAATGTCCACCTTCTGCACCAACCAGAGGTGCACACAGCCACTTATCTCTCTTTAATATATGTGCACACTAGCATTTGAGCCCTGGTGGGTGGAGCTATACTTCCACATCTTACAACTGCACCAATGGTGCTTTCGCAAAGTTATGACTTATAACAACATAATGCATAGTACATAGATTCATTGCCTAGCATCAGTATCGAGAGATAAACGCTCCTTATCATGTCAACAGCTTGTTTAGTTATAGAGTGTTTACTTCAGTGAGAACTAAAGAAATCTGTGAGTGTGAGCAGGGGTTAACTAGAGTGTTTTATTGTTGCACTCTTGTAAACTGGCAACCCCAATGCTGGGTCAGGGTTTCAGCAGCACGCTTAAAGCTGGGCTAAAGCCTTTGATAAAAATAAAAATAAAAATAAAAATAAAAATAAAATAAAAAACCACTAAAGAAATCTGCAAAAGGGGCGCGATTTCCTTTCTCCATTAAAGTCAGCTAGATTGGCATAAGCATTTGATTCGTGGTCTTAGTTCTCCTGCTCGCGGTATACTTAGAATTTAGGAAGAAAGCATATGCAGAGCCTCACTTCTTGCAAGCATTTCTACAGATCGACCATCCTAAAAAGAACAGCCTAACAGTAACTTTTCCTGTAGACATGCTTTCCTGTAGGCGAACTTACAACAGGTGTCAGAATAAAAGGCGAACTTTAGCTTAAGGGCTCGGCCTAATTAGCTCCATCCCAACTATTGGACAGCAAATGCGAAGCAACAAGGCGCAATCTTGCAGCGAAACTCCGCCATTTCCGAATATTTTTCAGGAACGACAGACAGCAAACAACAAAAGAACAACATAATGCTTCATCTTAGCCCAAGCAGTAGCTACTTCCCAAGAATCCTGGAACAATAGAGGATTATACTGACCTGATGAAGGAGAAGAGCAGCTGAAGGGAGCGTTGGCAGAAGCTGGGAGCGGAGGAGACTCCAGCGCCACTAGCCCACTACAACCGGACTCTTGTCCCCTGCGCTTGGATTGGATGGTGGCGATGACCCCATTCGGATACACAAAGGGACGCGGGCGGCCGCTCTGGCACTCCCCATTGGTGGCGCGCTGCGGCAGCTTGGTGACAATGCCAAGTGGGACAGGAGAAGTTGGGACCCAGCTGTTAGAGAGAGTGGCTGTGCTGCGGCGAGAGGACGGTGATGTTGGAGAGCGCTCTCCTATGGGCCGCGGCGCTGCCTCTCCACTTCCTTGGGCGGCATGCGTGTCCGTCGCTCTGTCCACCAGCCCATAAAAATATGTCAGACCTTCGGTGAGAGGAGTAACTTTTTTTTTCGAACGAACAGCCCTCAAAATGACATGGCCCACCGCTGCTGATGCCCGTGGGCCGTGGCCACCCTTAGCGCGCAATCTCCACCGTCCCAGAGCCGATTGCCGAGTATCCAAGCGATGCGTTATGGGAAAAACTGTTGTTGTCTAAGTTTCAAAAAAATAAAAAAACTGTTGTTGTCTATCTATAATAAAAAGATTATAAGAAGATCGAGGTTGAAGACAACATCTAGACAATCTAAAATAAATATACAAGAAATAACACCCTTTTGTTATTAAAATTATGTTCACAAAAAAATAACAACTCTATGATCGCAGACAAACCACTTCCTTATGTTGAGAATATTATATCCATAGTAACCAATTACTCCTTTTGCCCCAAATTATAAGTCATTTTAACTTTTTTGGAGAGTTAAAACATCTCAAGTCTGACCAAATTTGTATAATAAAACAATGACTTTTATGACACCAAATATATATAATGAGATTATCCATTAATTATATTTTCATAGTATATCTATTTAATGTCATAAATCTTTATAATTTTTTCTATAATTTTAGTTATACTTAAGATGTTTTGACTCTCCAAGAAAGTTAAAATGACTTATAATTTGGAACGGATGGAGTGTCCATTAAGGATATGCTTAGTAACTGCTAATGGCAATTCTCGTATGTGTAAGATCGTGGGAGCAGAGCTCCCCCACGAGTCTTTGGAAACTGCCCAACAACGCTTGTATAAACATGTACATTGTTCATGAATAAAGTTATATAGCTTCACTTTTACTAATCTACTTTCTCCTGTTCCTTTAACACCCTGTACGAACGTTGACATTCTAGTCCAAATTCTTACCCACTTATTTATTAGAGTAAATGAATATATAGGAAATAACATTCCATTTAGTTACTAAAATTTGGTTGAGAAAAAATAAACAGCTAGAACTTTATACAACAGGAACATTTTACAGCCTGCTCGTTTGAGCTACTTTTCAGTCATAGAACAGTGTTTTCCTCTTACAACATTTTAGCATAAGCATCAGCATAAGCCAAATTTCAGCATAAGGGTTTGTTTGGATATAAGAGCTAGTTACTAGCTAAGTAAAAATTAGTTTTAGTATATCTAAACAGGAATCAGTTTACCTGGGTGTTAGAGAAATCATGGAGTTACTCCACTGGATCAATGTATAGATGTCTTACTTACAGGGGAATTACAACACAAAAGAATGCAGAAACTGCGGAAGAGTAAATTGCCCAACAAAATCAAGGTGTTTATGTGGCTTATCACACAGGATAGAATTCAGACAGGGGCTAATCTTAAAAAGAGGAATTGGAAATGATACAGTAAGTGTTGCTTATGTGGTTGCGAGGAGACTGCTAACCATATTTTCTTTAACTGTCATTATCTCCAGATTGGTGTGGTTTTGCTTTAAAGCTTTAGATTGGGATAAGGCTCCTACTAGTTTACAAGATGTCTTTGAACATTGGTTACCTTTAGAGGTGCACAATTACCACATTAACAGCGTGTTTGGTCCGTGGATCCATTCCATCCGGGCGTCAGGTGGATCCGCTCACAATAGAATGGGTTCGTCCGGCATATTTGTGTGGAGTTGTCCTTCAAGATTGCTTATAATTTAGAGGGTCTCCATTAAGAAACTCATATAGGCATTTAAATTTAAAATGGGTAGCAAGAGGTCTAAAATTAGCCTTTAACAGAGTACCTATACAAGAGACCTATTTTGGGTTGCCTGAGAGGTATGACCCAAATATGGGTATCCTCTCTCCTGGAAACCCATTTGTAGAAAGAATTCTCTTTTAGGTCTTGTTGTTGGAGAAGATGCCAAATAGTTATTGAACATTTTACATGTAGCGCTATCCAAAGGACGAATGGATCTTGTATTTTAGGTGTTGCTGTTGAAGATAGCCTTGTTGTACAGGGAATCCATGGATGACGGACGTGGCAGTTCCATGCCGACAACCAAATAACCTTGCCAGCTTAGCTTCAGTACTAGGATCGGATCATTCCATATTACTTCAAACTGCAAACCAAACATGCTGTAAATTCTTTATGCTTGTTATTATTCTCTGGGGTCTTTGGAATATAATGAACAAAATAGGGGTAGGAAAACGTTTTCCACATTCTTCTATTGAGATCTTTGTAAAAAAATTTCGCTTTGTTCAGAGGTGGCGTATTCTCCTAAACGTGCAAGATGCAAACTCTCTGGATGACAAGATAAACAGGTTGAAGACGTGGTTGAAACTTGAAAGCCTTCTGAAAGCGAACTGAAAGCTACAGGTAGAAGGAATTATGTAAAAGCGGTTAAGTGCTCCAGTGGGTGGACTCTTTTCTGGTTCATGACTGGAGAAGTTTGTTTCATTTTTTTGCTCTGTAGATGCCTGGGAGTTCTTTTCTCTTCAGGTTTAGCTGGGTTGTTACCGTGGGCCGGAGTGCCCTTGTTTTCTTTGTCGTAGTCGCTGGCCTGATGTGGAGCCTGGATATTGCTGGTATCCCTAGCCTTTTTTCCTTTTCCTTTTGGTATTGAATCGCTTTTACTGTTTTTCTTTCTATAAAAGCTGAGTTTATCTCAGTTAAAAAAAGCTAAACTAAAAGATTAATAAGTGGACTAATTATTTAGTTAAGCCTTAATCAGTTATTAGCTAACTAGATAACTTAATTATAGTATTTTATTTAAATTATTTTTTTATCATAACTATTAACTAGTCATGTGTATCAGAGATACCCTAGATCCACACCCACCTTTTATTGGTCATCTCGCCCCCAATTCAACCTCATTTCTCTTTCCCTCTACGGCTCTACGCGGCCGCGATACCACCTCCGGTCACCGCACCGACCCATCCGCCTCCGCCCTCCGAGTCGACGACCACCACCAGACCGCAGCAGCAGCAGCCGCCGCCGCCACCTCCTCCTCCTCCTTCCGGCGTTGAGTCTGAGGTGCCGCCGAAGAAGCGGAAGCTGGAGGAGGAGGGGTTTCAGCGCTCGCCGTACTACACGATCAGAGAAACCGTCGCAAATCTCCGCGGCCGCTTCCTCCAGGTCCCCGCCGAAAACCCTAACATCCTCGAGTTCCATTCAGCAATAGCAGCAGCAGTAGCTAGTAGCCGCTAGCTAGCTAGCACGATCACTATATTCCTAATTCAGCATTTAGGAATGTTTTTGCTTGCGATGTTTCGGGGGTAGAGCACTAGAGGTTGTATTGTGATTTTGAGTGAAATTGTGGAATATTTTATCGACGCCTGAACTGAAATGTTTGTGCAGGCTGCAGAGGTTCATAGTTCATACTAGACCTTAGGCGGGTTCTCTTTGTTGTTGAAATTTAACGGTCTGATGAGGACAAATACGTACTGATACAGAATGGAAATTGAAGTTCCTGGGATGTGTGTGATCTTAAGTGATCAGGTTAGCCCACCACGTTTGTGTGCAGTACACGTTCCTAATTCAACATACATGAATATTTTTGCCTGCCATATTTGTCTACAGAGGTACTGTGCTTCTGAATGCAGTCCTGGAAGTTTCTATTGACGCTTGAACAGAAAAACAGTGTGCTGACTGCTGAGTTTCATAGTTCATAATAGTGTTTAGGCTGGTGTTTTCTTGCAAGTGGAAATTAATGGTATGATGTGGACAAGTACATACGAAACAAAATCGAAATAAGAGTTCAAGGGATGGAGGTGCCGAGGTGGTGTAGGTCTAAGCGGTCAGGTTGACTAGCCCTGTCTGTGTGTCTTTCAATGTCAATGTGTGGTATTCCACTACATTTATTTTTGAGAAATGTATCTCTGGCGTCTTGTTTTTTGTTATGTTATTGGTTACGGTTAAAACTGTAATCAGTTATTAATTTGTTTGCATTTGTTGTCATGAAGGTTTGCCATGGAACTGATTCAGAAAAGAAAGATGCTGCTGTTGAGATCTTGAATGGTAAGTGATTGGTCCATCATGTTGGAGCAACGTGTAATTTTTTAATGTATTTCATTTATCATAATCTGCACTAGAAATAGTGTTGTGGCAACGGATTTTGAACTTATCCAGTTTCTGTAGTACCATTTTATAGAAAACCATATTTCTTCGATACATATTGCTCTCTGTGGGTTGTAACATAAGTATGACAGAGGCGCTGTGACATTTCTTCTCAAATGCTATCATTCAAATATTGAATCCTCAGCATGGTTAACCCATCTATGACTTTTAGTATATTACATTTCTTTATTTGTTAATTGTTATATATCATGTAAAAATATTATTGCATTCAAAAGCATTCCACCTGAGTCCTGCCTCTCTTAAGTTATTATGGTTCTGCGTTTGCTGTACACATGTAAAATACTTCTTTGATTATGTTCTCTACTCAGAAGCAGCTTTTATTGAAAACAAGCCACTATGTTCTGTAATCTATTCGAAATGCAAAAGAAATAATAGAACTGTGCATCAAATTATCAGTTATTATGAAATACCATGATCAGCAGCTTTCTTTCAAAATGCATCTATTCTTTCTTTCTTTTTCTTTTTTTGTTTTTGCATTTAGATTATGCCTTGTTTTGTGGTCTGTAAATACTACCTGAGCATGAGCACATGGGCCTTACATTTGAACGATTTTACAAAAAATTTATATATAATAATGGCTTCTTTATCATGCATATGTATGCATAAAAAATTATTTGGATAATTAAATCTAACTTGTCTGTCCTCTGCTCTTCTTTTGTCTTACAGAGATGAAAGATGTGATAGAATTATCCAAGAAAACACGGCTTGATCTCTCCGCTGCTGCTGAACCTGTGATACCGTTTGACAAACATGCAGCTAGAGCTCCTGAGCATAAGCGTGCTGAGAAAGTTCTGTCTGAAGAGAAGAGTCTAGGTCCTACGACAAGCCTGGCGGGAAATTTTGTGCACAGTACAGGTGGAGGTGTACCACTCAAGCCTGATAACTCAGACACCGCAGCACATGGGTTACCAGTGAAGACTAAAAACTGGGCCGGACCAAGTAAGATAACAGGTTATACAAAACAACAGGGCGCACTCCCTCAAGGATCTTATGTCATCGGTGGATCTCCCATTGGCTGGAATTTCCTTATGTGGCCTGGAAGCAAAGCAGTCTACTATGGTTGACCAAAGCAGAGTGGTTGGCTCGTCAATCTGCAAAATGAAGTTCCATCCTGCTGTCCCAGTGATCTAACTGCTACATGGATCGATCTTTAGAAGATAACATAGTATTCCCTAATCCCTAGTTTCTGTGATATAAGTAGAACCAAATAGTACATGACACACCAGGAAGATGACCTCTTTGACACCAGAGCATGGTAACTTGGTAAGGCACTGAGGTATATTGGGATACTCAGTCTTTTGGAATGGATTTTGTTGCACAGTAGGGGTAATCAGCAGTAGATATACAGAGAATTTTGGTACTGTGAACTGGATGAGCCAAGCGTCCATGTTATGTTTTCTGTTCAGAAGTGGATACGAGGAAGAACTTCAGCACATGACAGCGCATTAGCGCTGATGCACAGTTAAACGACTGGTGGAGTTCCTGACTCCCTGCTCTCTCTGACTTTGTTCCATTAATTCTGTATCTTGCCTGCCTTGCTTTACCTGTGGACACTGGACAGTCAAGAGAGAATGCTTGTGAAAACTTGTGTTTTAGTTGCCTGTTTGTGCAGCTACTGTTCAAGTGCAGCAAGGCTACTGGCATTATTAGTTTGGCCTTCTACCTTGCTTGTCTTTTTTGTTCTCTGAGGAGATCTAGATTTTCTAACTTTGATAACCTTTTACATTTGGATAGCAAAGCTACTGAAAACCTCAGGATAAACAGGAGCATCTGTTCGGAATCTGCACGGCCTGAACGCCTGTGTTGCGGCTTACAACACTCTCCTACATGTACTGATGATGACGCACATCACTTCCCTTTCTCGTCAGAACAAGGGGGTAGGGGACCAAGTCCCCCGCTTCGGTCATCCTGTCTTCCATTCTTCTCGGAGCGTGCTCGTGCTCCGCTGTTGACGAAAGCGACGCTTTTGGGCAAGGAAACGGGCCTGCAGCGTCCCAGCTCGCGATTGGGCCCTCGCAGCACCTGCCAAAACAAGAAAAAGGCCTAGCCCATGCGCCAAGCTCCATGCGGAGGTTCCAGAGACATCTCACGTCTCTGAGGACTGAGGCAAGGCGACGTCAGGCTTCTTACCCGGCGCAGTCGAAACGCGCCTATTTAACTGTGCGCCCGCCTCAACCCCTGCCTCCTCCCCGGCCCCCTGTGCTCCTTCCTCATTTCCCCACCCAACGAGAGCCAAAAGCCTCGCGCCCCGCTCCGCCCCGGCGGCGACCCCCTGCCGTTTTCCGCAGCGACAGGCGACCAAGCCGCGGGCTTTGATCGCCTCCGCCCCGTGCCTACCCGGCCGCGGGCGTAGCCGCCGCCGCCACGACCGCAGCAGGCCCGGCCCCCCTCGGCGACTTCTGATCCAGCCGCGTCGCGCGACAGCTCGTCGTCCGAGTCCGATCCCCGCCACCGCGGCGGAACGAGGCGTTTCCGGTCCCCGAGGTGAGTCCCCCAAACCGGTGGTGCGATTCCGCCTGGTTTCTATGGTTGCTTTGCCGTGGCGGCGGCCCAGATTCGCCCCGTATTCTCCGTCCAAACCCTAGATTCGCCATTCCCTGCGTCACGTCTGGGGCGGAATTTGGGCGATTAGGTGCCTGTTCTATGATTTGAGCACCTTCGCCAAGGAATTTTAGGGTCAATCGATGCTGGTTCAATGTGTATGTGGTCCCAATTGGATGCTTGGCTGGTTCAACGTTGGCATTTTCTGAACAATTCATGGCGACCTTTGTAAACTTATGGAAGTTTCCTTGCTCTGATTCAGGGGATTCGGGGAATTTGAGACTGATACGACGGGATCCTGGTGATAATGCGGGGCTACGAGTACGAGACCAATGTAAGTTCTACATTGTTCACTTCATTCGGTTTAATTTCGACCAAGTGTGATCATTAAACCTTTTAAAGGCCACAAATCAAAGTTTAAATGGGTTAAAACTGAGATAGACAGAGGATTATGATAACTTCATTTTTTTATTTGCTTAAATGTAGAAAAATAATTGTAATAAAACAAAGAGGGAACTACAGTATTGACTATCGTGAAAAAAAGCAGTGGAATGTTTTTGGTCTCGTAACGATGACAATTATTGTGCAGGGTTACCACCGGGAAGTGGAAGATGAGTACGGAGATGAGTACTATGATCAAGATGAGTATTTGGAGGAGGGTTCAGGTGCTGGGGATGAGTATGTTGAGGAGGAAGAGCCTACAGAGGGACAAAAGAGATCCTCGAGTTGAGAGAACGATTAAAAGAGCAGATTAGGCGAAAGGCAAAGGCTGCTGCTGCCTGCACAACTGGCCGCTCGTCATCTTCACAAATGCCTCAAGCCAGGGACAAGTATGTTTGATGTACTGATTCTCAGCAGCATTCTCTTTCATTCTAAAATGATCTCTCTTCGAGCTCATGCCATTGAGAAATAATAAGACTTTATGGGAGATTACTTGTTCCCTTTCGAAATGTCTCCTGTTGTGGAACTAAAGTTTTTCATAGCCTATTGATCATTATACACTTGTGAAATAAATGCTGCTGGAAGATTTATTTTTCCACCAATATATTAGTTTGTTTTTCAGTGTGGTTGTGATGTTGGCAAACCAATTTTCTTTAACCTAAAGACCAATCAGTATTTGATGAATAAGGGAACTTTTCTTTTCTTTTGTTTTCCAACAAAATAGTCAAGCAGCACTTTTACACATTCTGCAGTTGATATTTCTTCTGCATTTCTTACCTTATTGTTGTTATAGAGTGTTCTTCAATGTGTTTCTTTTCCCTGCTAGATTTGGCTCTTTCTTCGGGCCATCCAAGCCGGTGATTTCTCGTCGAGTGATTGAAGAAAGAAAATCATTGAAAGAACTGCATAGCACAATTGCAAGGGAGCCAAGGCCTTCTGGAGTACATGTAATACTACGCCAGTATGCTTATTTTGATTAACACTGGACCAACATTAAATAATTATATTCTGTTTTGCTTTTGCCAGAAGGATATTCCATCGTCCTCTAAAGTGCAAAGTAAAGGAAATGGACATCAGCATAAACAGAAGATTGTTAATCAGGTATAAATAATTTATATTCACTGCATTCTTTTGCATGTTCAGTACAATGGACCTAAAATAATGTATTCACAACATAGCAGTTGCAATTTGCAGGTAAAGAGGAAGGTTGAGGCACTTAAGGATAACCGAGATTATTCATTTCTACTCTCGGATGATGCTGACCTTTCACCCTCTCCAAAGGAGAAACCTGCTGCTAGATCTTCCTTGACTCAAAGGGCTGGTGAGTTGAAACTCTAATTTTATTAGACAAGGTCTTCCCTGTGTCTTCAAATGTGAATTGCTGACTGTTTGTTTCTGGACAATGAAGATCGCGAGGTGATGCAATCAACAGTAAAGAGCAAGGCACCAACAAGTCAACCTGCACGTTTGTCAAATGGATATGGACCTAAGAACACAATGTCAACTCAAAGGCATGCCGAAGGTAGGGTAGATTCCATGAGAAAGGAGGCTTTCTTGAATAGAGAAAGGGTTGTTTCACGTGACAGTGAGAGGACGCATTGTATTGCAAGAAATGGATCCAACCAGGCAAGCACTAGCAAAACCACAATCCAAAAGCTTCCAAGCAGGGGTCCTATTGTTAATAAGCAACCTTCCAAGGATTTGAATGATGCAACTCTGTGGAAGAGCAGTGTAACCTCGAAGAACCATCTCTCAGAGATTGACAGACCAAAATCCTCGCAAAGTCAGAGGATGCAGTCAGCTGGTCAGAGACCACAGCATTCTTCCCACGGTCAGAGGCCACATCAATCCATGCAGCATAGGCCGCAGCAGTCATTGCAGAGTCCGAGGCCACAGCAAATGACACAGGGTCAGAAACCACAACAGTCTTTGCAGAGTCAACGGGCTCGACAGTCCTTGCAGAATCAAAGACCACAGCAGTCCTCACATATTCAGAAACCGCAATCCTCACAAACACACAGACCACAGTCACTAAGTAACAGGTCCCAGCCATCACAAGGACAAAGGCCTCTTTCTTCGAAGGGTCAATATTCGGAGCAAAGAAGAGTACAGGCAAATAATAGAGTCAAACAAGCTGAAAGGCAGATTCGGCCTCCCTCGAAGTCCATGGTAAATACTTATGAGAAAATACCACCTTTCTGGATTTTGCCTGAAGTTATCTGCCACACATATTTCCTGTATATGGGTTGAATTCGTTTGGCTAGGGTTGCTGATGTTTCATTTGTTCCATTATTGTCTCTTTATTTGTGCTTGTAGCCATCTCGGCCAGTCTCTTCCAATGGAATTTGTGATGATCATGCAAAGAGAAAGCAAGTGGCAAAAAGAAGATTTGATGAAGATGAAGATGAGGAAGACCCCTTTGCAATGATCAGAAATATGTTCGGGTATTGTCTAGATAAGCCTGCTCTATCTTTTCTGTTTGGGTCAGTGGTTGTGAGCATCAGCCATCAGCCTCTATATAAGTTAGCATGTTTTACTAACATGGTTTTCAAGCTGAGCAAACCAAGCATTGCTTGATTGCAGTGGCTGTTCGAAGATGTTGCTTATAGATATTTGGATTCTAATTTTGGCTTCCTTTGCAGGTATGATCCTAGTAGATATGCAGGCAGAGATGAGGATGTCAGTGACATGGAAGCTGATTTTGCTACTATAGAAATGGAAGAGAAAAGAAGGTATTGCTTCTCTTATTTTATCCCGTATAATATTGTGCAGATTGAAATAAAAGCTTATATAATATACGTGTATGCTTTATATTCAAGATATTGCACTGCCTGCACAGATGATCAAGATAACTTTAGTATCATAATGATGAGACATTTGATTGTTTTTTTTTTGTACTCTCTACCGTACCATTCAATTGCTTCCTAGGGTCAAGTTCCTGTGCCATGTTTATTCATGGTTAAGAAACTAGCAGTGCACGTCGGATGCATGTGGATACTTAGCATTCTGGGTTTTCCTGTCTGTGGACGCCCTCTATTTCGTATCTGATTCACATTTGATATTGGTTTCTTTCAGCGCGAGGATTGCTAGGCAGGAGGATGAAGAACAACTTCGCTTGATTGAGGAAGAAGAGAGACGCGGGCAGGAGAGGAAGAGGCGAAAGATGGCACGAGGCCGATAGTCCAATACACCGTCATATTTGGATGTTATAACTGCACAGGCCTGATTGCCTGAGGACAAGTCCCATGGTCGATCAGACAGGCGTTTCTCTTGCAGTCCTGTTACCCTTGAGCGTTGCAGACAACAGCAAACCTTAGCTCGTTGATTATCTGGAGGCAAATCAATGTAAACGGCAGGTGAGCAACGCTGGGCACGTGTAACAGCAGAATGGCAGAATGTTAGTCGTAGTGGTTTATTTCCCGAAGCTGACATGGACCATATTTAAGCTCTCGTCAGACTGTTTGGATAGCAGAAGGCTCCAAACGTTGCAGCGCCTCGTCGGATTGTTTCTTCTAAATTCTAATTATATACTGATTCTTTCAGTTAAGCCTATATAAGGATGCCTAATCCAAGTGGTTGTTTGGGTGTAGTAGTGTTGTAATAAACGATATGTTAGAATTTTCGGACATAATTTTGACCTTTTGTCAGGCGATCACTGCACTGCAGATGCGCCTCTGGTGTTGTCCTGTCTGGTCAGGACTCAGGAGGGATGTTTCGAGCTTTTCCCCTTTTTGGAAACGGGACTCGGATACGGATACCCCTTTTCCTGCACGGAACGTTGGCACGAAGCAGGCAGCTTGTCTTGTTGAGGAGCTTGTCGTGCTGATATACCCATGTTCAGCTTGCCTCATGAGCTGTATTTTTTCAATGAACAGTCCTTTTCAGCCTGGGCCAGACGAACAGGGCAAAAATATGTTGTCAGCTATTCGGACATTTCCCTCTATGTCTCTCTGGATCAACATATAGTAGATGAAAAGTAGAACACATAGATAAAAAAGATAAGGAGAATATTTTTTATTTTTTTAAATATTAATAATTACAACATAGAGCTTCCACGTATATACTCCCTCTGTCTCGTTATACAAGATGTTTTAGCTGTCAACCACATACAACGAAGACTCCCTGAACCTGGACGTCGGCTCTGTCCTGGTATATGGGACATGCAGTGAATGTAGTCACATAAATGCAGTGCTAGAAGTATAGTGGGACAGAGGGAGTATAGTCCTGTTAAGGTCTAAGAGTTTGGTAAGAACCCACGTACAAACGGACTAAGGTTTATGATTGCTCCTTTTTCCTTTTAGGACAGACTCGTGTGTTTTACAACAATTTTAGGCTCTATTCGGCTGGTCTATAAGCCGCTTTGCTGATTTATACGGCTGATTTGTTGGGAGAAAAAAATAATATACCATGATTAATAAGTCGGCTTATAATGACAGCCGAACATAGCCTTAATCACGAAGCAGCCAGCTTGAATCCTGTTCGTGTTAGAGTTGTAGTACGTCTCCAACAATGTTGGCCGAGAACAGGAAGGTGCAGAACAAAGGATCATGGTTTCGAGTACTAATAAGGACTCCGACGAATCTCCGCTACCAGGTAACAAGCGTCGACCTAAAACCTCACGGGTCACGACTCACGAGTAGCCGACATGGCAGAAGGAGAGGAGAGACCGAGCGGAGGGGGTGACGACGATAACGGCAAGTACCCGATTGGGTTCCGCTTCAAGCCGACGACCGAGGAGCTCGTGGAGTTCTACTTCCTCCCCAAACTGCTGCACGAACCGACCGTGCCAAACGAATTCGTCATCGAGGCGGACGCGTGAAGGACACGTGGACGCCTAAGAGGGGGGGTGAATTAGACAACTTAAAAATCTAACTCTAAGCTATGGCCTCTTTTTCTACCTCCAGCAAAACCTATGCAAAAGATAATCTATCTAGATGTGCAACTACGGTTTTGCTAGTGTGTTGCTATCTCTACCGCAAATGATAATAATATGATCAATATAAATGCGGAAGCTTAAAGAGTAAGGTAGAGATATGCAAACTCCCGTCGACGACTCCGGTATTTTTACCGAGGTATCGAGAAGCGCGCAAGCTTCCCCCTAGTCCTCGTTGGAGCCCCTCGCAAGGAATCCCTCGCAAGGGCCAAGCTCCCGGTCGGGTAACTCCGTGGATAGCCTCGGGCCTTCCCCACGCGCAAGTGGGTCTCCGATGTGCCTTCCGGCAAGCCTCTCCCGGATGCTCTCTGCCGTCTTCACTATCAAGCTTTCGGCCGAAACGCCACGGGCCTTGTTCCCTTCGGTACACGGTGGCGGCCGCACCACAAACGCGGTTGGTGCGATCTCGCAAGACTTTAAGCCCCTCCGATGTACAACTCTTGTGCTCGCAAGCACGGGGTGGCAAGAGGTATGCAAACCTCACTAAACACTAGGCATACACCTAGAGCAAGCGCATAAGCGGTGGTCTAATCAACCTAAGCACTTCGCAAAGCACCTACGCTAATCACCTGATGAAACACTAAGCAATTAGCAAGTGGAGATCACTAAAATTGTGTATCAACACCCTTGGTATGTTTCCTCAGCTCCACTATACTCCAATGGCCGGTTGGGGGTTGTATTTATAAGCCCCACTGAAAAAGTAGCCGTTGGGGTCGAACTCCCGCAATTCTGCGCTTCTCGACCGGACGCCAATCGCCCCGACCGACGCGTCCGGTCGTCCCGACTGCTAGTAGCCGCTGAACTACACGGACGGACGCCAATCGGTTCGGTCGCTTCCACCGGACGCGTCCGGTCGCGATTCAGCGCTACTGAACCTCTCTTCACTTTCGATCGGACGCTGCTGCGTCTGCGTCCGGTCGGTTGCCGCCAGCGTCCGGTCCTTGCGTCCGGTCGCTTGTCTCGCCGAAACCACCGTCCAGCGTCGGTCGTCGCTTCTTCATCCGGCCGCCTCCTCGCGAGCTCGTTTTTTGCGATCTTGCGCACGGCTTGGTTCCTATCTTCATGCTTGGACTTTGCTTGACATCTTGGGTCTTTTCTTGTGCTTCTAACGTCTTGCTTGAGGTGTTGATCATCAGATCATCATGTCGCCTTCGTCCAAGTCACGTCTTGCACCCTATTGGACTACAAAACAAACACTTGCAAATTCATTAGTCCAATTTGGTTGTGTTGGTCATCAAACACCAAAATCCAAAGTAAATGGGTCAAGGGTCTATTTTCCTTACAATCTCCCCCTTTTTGGTGATTGATGACAACACGACCAAAGCAAGCAAATGATAAAAAATTTTAAATTTAAAAATTATCTACTTGCTATGATGCAATGCAAAGGGCAAGGTTATATGATACTAATTGATAGATATCAATTAAAACTTTACTCAAAAGCATGTCTTGCCCTTGCAAATGTCCCCATGTGATATTATGGATTAGAGCCTATCTTTCTAAAAAAATTCTCAATCCATAATTCACTTTCCTCCCTTTCTCGGACCATTACCACTTGTAGACATCAACTTGATGCTTGCTTTTGGTCCTTCAAATTCTCCCCCTTTGGCATCAAACACTAAAAAGGAAGACATTAATAGCACAAGGGAGGGTCAAATTTCATGATCCTTTGTGTATAGAGTGAAATGGATCATAAAATTTGACTCTCGCATTATATAGACTAAGCTCCCCCTAAATATATGCATACATATGGTAGAAAGCAAAGCATATGCATAATTAGCAATTTGTTGCACAAGAAAGTTTAATTTATATAATGCATAGAGAAAGCATATAAATATGAAATGAGATCAACATGATGATGCCAATTGAAGAACGATGCTTCTCTTCGGGGACTCCATTTTCCTTGCAATGAGACTACTACACACATGATAAACTTGAAAAAGGTGTTAGTCTCAAAGCGTCCATCTTGTAGATGATCCTCCCCCTAAATTTGTGCATGGAGACATGGAATACTTGTAGTACTCATACACAATTGATTTTGGAATCAAAATACCACTTGAAAGATGATGTTTGGAAGAAAATTATCTACAATTTGAACTTTGGCACATATTAGATAAACAATAGTAAGACAAGCTATGTGCCGTGCTCCTAAGCAATTTTAAACCATGTAGGTTTGCTCCAAGGGTTACAAATGAGACCGAGCAAGCCTACCTTATGAAATACCTAGTGTATGCATGACAAAAGATATAAGCATGCAAATGCAACCCTAGGCATGAGGAGTAACTAGATGCTTAAAGATACCAATTGTAGGAAAATCTAATTGCAAGATGTATCAATTAAAAAGTAATAACATCTAGTTACCTAACATGGGAAGGGGAATTTGGGTCCATAGTATTCACTAACCCACTTGGCAATGATTTTGTCCATCATGATGCACCCCATGAAATGCATCCATACTTAGCCAAGTCTCTAAATTCCCCGGGGACCGACGGACTTTTTACTTCCCTTTCGGAATCCAAACTTTCTTGGTGCTCTTCATGTTGGAAATGATTTCCTTTGGCACCCAAAAGCGTTTGACCCCATTGTTTACTTGCTTGTTCACCTTGATGGCCACCACCTTGTCATTTTTCTTCTTCTTCAAGAGATAAGGTGTGGAGGCCTTCTTGTCCACCTTGTTGGTGTAGGTGTTGGAGAGCTTGCTTGTTTGCTTTTTCTCCTTCTTCTTTGCTCCTCCCCCATTCTTCACCTTGCACTCATAGGACTTGTGGCCTTCTTTGTGGCACACGTAGCAAACCACGGTTTGTCCTTCATCAAGCTTCTTCACTCCCTTGACGGTGTTATCTTGATGAAGTTGGGTTTGCTTCGCCTTGCCTTTCATTTGAGTCAAGTCCTTGGTGAGGCGAGCTACTTCTTGCTTGAGTTGCTCATTCTCTTTTGCAACCTCTTGTGTGCATGTATCTACAATCACTTTCTTAACACAAACTTGGTTGCACAAAGGTGAGTCTAAACATAAATCATTGCAAGAGGTAGATGCATCCTTTTTAATTATGTCATTTCTTTTAGATGCCTTGGTGGGGGTATTTTTTACGGCCTCAAGATTAGCAACTTGATTTGTTAGCTCATCACAATATTTGCACATGATTTCCATTTTAGCAAGCAAACTTTGATAATCATTTTATGAGCTAGCTAACTTTTCTTTTAATTTTTTATTTTTCTTTTCAAGTTGCTTATCATTAATTGTGCATGCACTT